AAGTGAGGTTCTTACCCACGAAAGCTTATGCTCCCAATACTTCTGTTAGTCTTAAAGGTGCCACAGGACCCTCTGTTGGTATTTAGTAGCACAGCTCCCTCCTGTTTACACTAATAGGGGCTGCAGGGCTATATGCAGGTATTCTGTGTTTAAAGCATACCTTGAAGCAGTCGCTCTCAACTAGGGTGACCAGACAGCAAGTGTGAAAAATCGGGACGGGGGTGGGGGTAATAGGTGCCTATGTAAGAAAAAGCTCCAAAAATCGGGACTGTCCCTACAAAATCGGGACATCTGGTCACCCTACTCTCAACTCATGGCCCGCATACACAATTGCAGCCCATATGACATCCACAGGGTCATACAAGTAGCATATATATTGTGTGGATGCACATAATACACAGAACACACAGAAAGCTGCATATGCAGCCCACAATGGTAAATAGGTTGAGAACCACTGCCCTAAAGCAAAAAACAGAGAAAGCAACCAAACTTTACAATATTGACAGTATGCCACCAGAGGGCATCCTGATGTGGAGAAATGACCACGCAAAACTTTAGGGCCAAATTTATCCCTGGTGTAAGTTCTTCAATGGCATTTTATACCACATATAGATATGACCCACAGGGCTCAGCTAAAGATGTTATTCATTTCCTTGTTTTCATCTGTCTTTGTAATACATTACTATTATAATTTATCTCACAATGTAAAATAAAAACATTTATAAAATACATTTCAGTGTGAATCACAATACTGAACTCTGTGACTGAAACACTTAGGTAAACCCAATACACTTGAGTATATGGAAAAGCACTGTAATGCATACAAAAACAGCATAATAGGGCTGGCAGATATTCCTTGTGCATTGCAGGGCAGGAGATCAGAGTGCCTAATAAAAGCTGAAGGGGTTGGGGACCAAATACATTTCGACTGGAAACAGTAATGTCACAGCAGGCAAAGCAAATGAGGGAGGAAAGCTGGACCGTGCTATACCTTTGGGAATGTAAAGCTAAAATACTTACATCATGGAGAGGGTAAGCAGCTGTATAGGTGCCATTACTTAACAATCTTTTAATTCCAAACTTTTTCTTCCCTTCTTCTGTTCCATAGGGGCACCGTGTTAGGATATAGTACACCTAAAATGCAAACACAGAGAGTTTAATCCTCTTCTTTTATAATATGGTTTAATACCACACTCCACTGATGGATGAAGGACCACTGCTGATGGGACTGTCCAATCCCCCTCAAAGGCAATGCATTGCAGTAACTGCAATATAGGGGAAATTAGAGGATCCTCAAGGCTCCAGCTGGAACAAGGATGCCCCAGCTGTCCCACCCTGGATGAGAACTGGTTTCTCAAATGCCATCTGTATTTAGAAAGATACATAGACATCAGATTTCATCACACAACATCCAGAGATACTGTACCATACAGCATCAAAGTAATTGACCTTCTGTAGATTCAGAACTCAAATGGCTGTCTCAGCTTAGTGTTTGATATGTGATCACACATATCTCCAGTCACCCACCCACCCATAGGCATATGTTACATTCTGCCTGCACCTGTAAACAGATGGGTTGAGATACGTACTATTCTGTTTCTCCTGGATGGTGAGAAGAAGGTGTTCTCATTGTCAATGAGGTAGAGCTCCTGCCTACTTTTGCTGAAGGGTGCCGTGAAGTAGTCTGGTTCAGGGTGCATCACCTTCTCCGGTAGCCTAAATGGTCCAAGCATACAGTCCAATGGGTTCTCTACAGTAGGGGGAATATCATTTTCCTTGATGGGTGCTTTAATGTTCAGCACTTCAGCATATGTGATCAGAACCTCCCATGGGGCATGGATCTTCACAAAATAAGTTTTGCCATCTTCAGATTCCTGCACAAGAAGAGTTAAGCCTGAGGTCAAACTGAGGCGGGGGGTTTTTTTGGATTAAAATTATCTTAAAGGCTTACATTGATTCTGAAAAAACAGGAGGAAAAATTTCCCTCCGCCAGAAAGCTTGTATGATTGATGGTAGTGGGTATCTGTACTCTTTGCACTGATTAGAGGCTTATGAGGAGATTTCAAACTGCATCAAACTTGTACATTAAAGGTCAAATTCTCCAGCCTACTTAAAGGCCACAGAAGACACTGAATGCATTGGAAATGGTGTGGTTCTACAGAGCAGGCTATGCAGGGTATAAAAAACCCACACAGCAGTCAAAACTCCCTGCATGCAATGGTGCTGTGCCATCTCCCAGGCAGAGAGGGCAGTTTTAGGATTGGTGTACTGAAACTGCTGGAATTTCTCTGCACATAGTATATGTGAGGGTCTGACTCTAAAACAGTAATATTTAATCTGGAAAATGTAATATTTAATCCCTGGTTTACTGGAGCCCCATCTCTGGGTCTCATGGAATCCATTGGTTTTGTCAGAAGTTATTTTGCTCCACCTATTCTCAAGTAGAGTAAGGATAACACTGATCAGAGAAGCACTCCCCCTGCTGTCCCAATCATATGAGGCAGAAAAGTAACACTAAACAAATGGACACAACTACCATCCCAAGCCTTTCCCCATCCTGATCCTAATCCCCCACAGGATATGAGTAATTCCCATTGACTTCAACAGATGTTACTGGTATGCCGTGCGGAGGTGCTGGAGGAAGAATCTGGCCCAAGCAGAGTTTCCTTTTTACACTGGTCTCCCTGTGTAAATGAACTCACGATTCAGTTATTTTGGGACCGTTTCCTTTTCATTACTGAGTAAAACACAATCACTTCCTCCTGAAACACAACAGTTCTCTTCTCACAGTGCTTAGAATACTTATCAAGAAAAATTGCTCCTATATTAGCCTGTTTAACTTCAGTTACTCACATGGTTTGAAGTACTGAAATCCCCTAGAACCACTGATACAATGGTGGATAAAATCTTGTCGGAACAGACCAACAAATGTATTATCTAGCAATCTGAAAATTCAGTTATTTGGTCCTATTTTGCTCATTAGGACGAGAACACTGTTTTTTTTACCTTTTTGTCTTCTGTTTCTAGTTCCAGACCAGCCTTTTGTAGATTCTTCTCAAATTCTCGCCTTCTTTCCTGAGGATAAATAAAGAGACTTTACTAAAAAAAATGAAGCTGAGGCAATTTTTACTTCATCTGTCAAAAACTTTAACCCTCCCTGTATCCCTGTGTATAGGGTCTGATCTTGTACCCATCAAAGTCAATACGAGTTTTGTCGTTGCCTAAATAGAAGCAAAGTTGGATGCCAAAGAGTAATTTTTCCCAAATTCTACTTGTTGCCTTTTAATCACCAATCTCTCTCAAAGTAGCTGGTCCCTGTGTATTGACTTTAAGGCCTGGTCTACACTGCGGGGGGGGGGGGGGGGGCGGGGAATTGATCTAAGTTACACAACTTCAGCTACGTCAATAACGTAGCTGAAGTCGACGTACTTAGACCTACTCACTGCGGTGTCTTCACTGCGCTGAGTCAACTACTGCTGCTCCCCCGTCGACTCTGCTTGCGCCTCTCGCGGCGGTGGAGTACAGGAGTCGATGAGAGAGCGCATCTAGACTAGACACGATAAATCAACCCCCGCTGGATCGATCACTGCCCGCCATCCAGCAGGTAGCATAGACATACCCTAGGACTAGCTCCCTAGACCAGAGTAGGTGAGCCCAATCCAGCCAATTTAAGAGAGCTGGGCTACACCTGGTCCTATAAATGCACTGTTAGTGAGCAACTGGAGAGATGGATTGTGACAGCCAAACTGGAGTGGTGGGAACCTGGAGTAAGGGGCTCAGGGAAGCAGTCCTGGGGGCTGTTGCCCTAAGAAGGGAGCAACTGACAGACTGGTAAACTGCCAGAAGCAGGAGAACTAGAGACTCCTGGGAGGGGTGGCCTGAGGCTAAGGAATGAGTTAAGATTGTTTTTTGGTTTGTTTGTTAACCTGTTGAGCAAATAAACCTCCTTGCAAAAGACTGAGCACGGCAATGCATGCTTTGGAGCAAAGGAGAAGTGTGGCCCTGGTGACAGTCGCTAATTGCACTACATGCTGGATTTATAAATTAAATACTTAGTTTATCATATTGGATTTATCATTTAAATTAAATAAGCAATACCAATCTTGCTTCCTTTAGAAATCACTGGCAAAACTCTTACTGCTTTCAAGATCAGGACTATAATTAGATATATTTTTTTAACTGAATAGATATTTCTACAGAATATTTTTGAGCCATACATCAAAAAATTAATTTTCACCTAAATTTCCTTTAGACTATAACTATTTCTGTATGAAGGCAATTTGTAAAGCAAGAATGCCGTAGAACACAAGGAAATGCAGGATACTCCTTTTGCATTTGATTGTGTGTCAAATGGGGATCCCATGTCTTATGGTACTATATGCTAAATAGATAAGTATGTTTACTGATCACAGTAGCTTTGCTCTGAAACATCTAGTGTTGTGCCAGATGGACTACCAGCCCGATCCAGTATGGCAAGTCCTTTGTTCCTAGAAACTGATTTCCTATTGAGACAAAATAGATCTTCCTTCTATGATTTGGTTAATTACTCTTTTTATGTATTGAGCTGGAATCATTTTGACCTTTACATTTTCTCTGTCTCCCATACCAGCATAAGCATACAAACAGAATTGTAATTCACGGAGTTGATGATCCAATCAACACAAAACAATGCATATGAAAAGGTTGTATAGCATGATGGCCATTACATTCAGGTGGCTTATCTAAAAACAATGCCATGTTATGGGGCAGGTACTCAGCTAAATAGAGCACATGGGAGGCTGTCAGTCTCTGAGTCTCAGCCCTACATACAATTTAGAGCAAGCTGGGGTCTGCTTTAATTTTGCATCAGCCAGCAATAACTCCTCACTCTCTCCAGCCCCTGTATTAGAACCTGTGGGGAAGAGGAGAATTAGGAGCCAACTCTGCTGGTTCTATGCCCACTGGGGACTCAAACATATTGGCAAAATCATCAGTGGGAAAGTTAAGGACAGTCGCTTGATCCTTTGTGCTGCTCAGGAGGTGCAGGTATACAGAGGACTGGAGAGTCCAGTCCTAAGTGACACACGCATATATTTTATATAAAATACCCCATGAAATAAACTGTAGAACCATAAGATAAGTGAAATTATTATGCTCCGTTGATCACCTCACCAGTCCTCTGTCCACTAATTCCTCTTCTCTGAAACTTATTCTGGCATTTTGTACTCCTCCAAAGTTTCAAATAAACCATCATAAATGTTTTTATTTTTTTTAAAATGTCAACTTGCCAGGGAAAATTTTTCTTCTCTTGCCAAGAATGGAATTTCCCCCAAATGTCCCCTGTCCCAGGCTTAGGATGGGCAATATTTTTTCTAGACATAAAAATGTCACAATTTAAAAATTCATTATCTCATAATCCTGCAGGACTATAAATGGGGGCCCATACTATTGCCTCTACTATAGACCCTTTGGGTTATTCCAGAACCACAGAGGAATAGTAAAACTAATTTATACAATTACACTAACTTTACACCACCCCTATGGCAGAGGTTAAAAAAATAACTTAAAAACTCTCTTAAGTGTTTCTAAGAGATGTTTACTGATTGCATTACCTTTATCCCACCCTCACACTATCATGTATCGTGCATATACTGCATATGCATTATATGCACGATACATGATACTGTGACGGTGGGATAAACTAAAATCAGCACTCATGGAATGACCTATAAAACTCACTGCCAGCTTTGCTTTTCATGATCAAAGTGTACCCATCCTACATCTACGCTAACACAACTTTCATTTCAAACCACACCATTGTGTATTTCCTATACGCACTAAAGTGATCCAGTATGAATTTACTGCCTAAAGTAGACTTAGATATGAAAACCTATTTGATAAGATTACCAAAATTAGACCCAAAGTCCAATGGGAACAGGGGGACTAATGCAGGTTTAATATCATACATAAGTAATATCAGTTATCTAAGAAAGATAAACATATATTATAAAGGTAAATCCATCTCTTGATAACTATGCTGTTTGCTAGTAACAATAATCAGTAAATAAAAAAGGGTAATAGAGTAAAATTAATTTTTAAACTTTACAGCACATTATCCCTTAAGATAAATTTTAAAACGCTACTCTTGAGCAACAGATTGTCATGCTGGAAAAGTTTGGTGTGTGGTAGAGCATCCACTCCTGTTCCGACTGAAATCCATTTGTGTAATTTTGGGCCCTATGAAAAATTACGAACATTCTTATATTTAAAAAAAAAAAATGAAATATGTGACCAAATACTGTGTTAATCTAGGCATCATGCAATCCCATTAACTTCACTGAAGTTGCACAGGGCATAAGTGAATGTAGAATTTGGCCCTCAGTTAGGAATTTAGGGGCTTGGTGTTATGAAGTGCTGAGCATCTCCAGTTCCCAACAGGGTTTTTCAGTACTTTGCTGAATGTGCTCAGCACTTGGCAGGATCAGACCCATAAAGATAAAAGGTCAGTCCTCTATATATTGTGCTCCTGAAACTCCCACTGAAGCAATTTGAATTTTGAGTGTGAAAGAAATGCAAGTCCAAGACCTACGTTTTGGAAATGTATTTACTTTTTCTACTTTAAAAAGCAATAAAATATTACATTTAATAGTAATTGCCAAGTGATAATGCAGAGAAGGCCAGATTGTGCTTAGCTGTACCATAGTCATGCACTGTGGAATAGGACAGAGTAATGATCTCCCCTTGCCCCACTCCTTCCAAAACCAATATTAAAGCTACCCAGAACATAGCTCACAATGTTTAGGGGTATGCAGGAGTTTCACATCAGTGGCTCTTCCCTAGAGAAAATGAGCAAAAACTGGGCAGGCAGTGGGTGAAACTATGGTTCAGCCCCTCCAGGCACCAGCCTAGCCCTTGGAGACAGGGAGATTTCTGCACCCCAGAAAATGGTGTCATAAAATATTCTCCATATGAGAGCTCCCAGAGGCACTAAGTTTGGGGTGCTCCGCATGGGGTGGTAAAGAGCATGCTCTAGTCCAGTGGTTTTCAACCTGTGGTACGCGGACCCCTGCGGGTCCACAGACTATGTCTAAGATTTCCAAAGGGGTCATCCCCTCCATTGGACATTTTTTAGGGGTCCACAAATGAAAAAAGGTTGAAAACCACCTCTCTAGTCCCAAATAAATAGGTCTAGTCAGAACTTTTTAAAAAACAAACTCAGCTCTTTTTGATCAATAAAATCAGTAAATGTGTGTATAAAAATAAAATAGTGAGATCAGTCAGAAAAATAAACACTATCTGTCAGAGGTATTGAATAGAAATATAAAGTAAATTGCTGAACTTACAACATAATTTAGACTTCTGTTAACAGGAAGCTTTATGGCTAGGATTCAGTCATGTGGCTTATGAACAGCCAAGTACAATACATAGAAAAAATGGTTTACTGTGGAAATTATTCTGATTTGAATGTTTTGCATGTAATTTTTTCCATTCCCCTGTGAATAAAAATTATATATAGCTATGTACAAGATAGTGGGTTTATGTTTTGCACTTAAAATAAATACATTAATGCAAATGAGCTTATTAAGTGGGATTTCAAAGTGAAAAAGGTAATGCAATCAGTAACTTTATGGATTACCCCTTACTGAGATATCAATTATTTTTTAAATCTCTCTTTTCACATGTGCTAGACCACTGGGAACCTGTAATGAATACAGTAAGGCTGCGATGAATATAAATCACAAATAGATTTCTTAAATATATCCAGCCTGACTGAATATTTGATTAAAATTTACTAAAAATTTCAATCTTAGGGCTTTATCTAGCTTTGCCTTCTGTGAATGCTAAGGATACTCAGCATCTCCCTGCATCATCAGACAGCTTGGTTTGAAAAATTAAAACAGCTAACCAGATGGCTGCCTGCTGAAAAGTCACCTAGACAAAGCAGTATTAGAAATAAATGTCTAACTTCCAAGACAGCTGAGGCTAACACTTCTCAGAGTTGGACTGAATCCAGAGATTAAAAAGCACTGTTTACATAGACCATAGCATTCCACAACAGCCATTAGAGGATCAATAGTAGAGATAATGGGAATCAA